CATATGTGCACACACATATACAGTATTTTAAATATATAATAAAATATTGCATATCTTTTGTGTCTCCTCTCTTAATTAGAGCTATTAATTAGAATTTTGCGTTAATTTTTTATAGCTTAGATCCAAAGACAAAGTTAACTGATCTTTTTTTTCAAAAACAACAAATTTTATCGAATGTAAAATTTGCGGGATTCCCTTTGAGGAATGCATAAAATATTCAAAAAATATTTAGATGAAACATTTATCAACTAATCATCCGGAAGTAACAATTCTAAAAGAGTAAGTAACAATATACGTCATATTATACTTTTAATATTTATTGTTTTTTATTTAATAATTATTTTATCAAAAAATATAAATTTAGATTTTAATTAAACTAATGCAATATTACACTTGTCGCCACTGTGTTCAACTACAATGTCCTCGTCGTTTTTTGTTGTATATGTAAGGGAATAGCAATAATATATTGCAGAATAATTTAATTTTTTTTTAGTTTTAAAATTGAATCAATTTTATCATTAAAAAAAGAATTAATAGAAGAAGACGATGAAAACGAAATTTCTTTTTGTATTCTAGAAAAGAAATGGATATGGAATTACTACACTTTAAAAATAAATTCTGATGCGAATTATATTATGTGTGGATATCAATTTTGTGCAGCTGAATTTCCTTCAATCGTAAATATTTCTAATTTACGTCAACATTTACCAAAATCATGAATTAATCAATCATGGATTAATATAAAAGAAAATAGTAACTAGAAAATAGTAACGGCAGCTTTATAAATAGTAACTAATTATAATAGTTACTATTTATAAAGCTGCCGTGCTGCTCCTCGGGCCACGATTGCCACACATTCAAATATATCTTATAAAATTTATATATCAAAATAATTATTTCTTATAAAATATATTTTCAATATAGAATAATTAAACAATCCAAATCTGGAAGACTTTCTCATTTGTGGAGGTATTGCATTCCAATGAGAAATTTTAATACTAAAATAAATTTCCAAAAATGCCGCTACTTTAGCTATACTTTTGAGGAAAAGACGCATATTAGTGCATTAAGAAAACATTTATTAATTCATGATATAATTGACGAAGATTATATACGCTTACCAAAAAATTTACAAAACCATTTTAAGACAGCACAGAATAAATATGAAGCTGTATGCACATATTGCCATTCTACAATATCAATATTATCGGGATATGAGCGACTTAAAACGTCATTTGAAAAAAAACCACCCAAACGTTTTTGTAAAACAAAATACTTAAAAAAAATTGCAAATATGACACGCAGGATGATTCATTATTAAGGCAGTTCTAATACATGAAATTTATATAAAAAATTTTTAAGGATCATCAACCATCTTCAGAACTGAAGGACAACATTCGTACAGGAACTATTATATATAACTAAAACATTCCTTATTGTGGGACTCTTTCTTCTTTTCCATTCACGTTGTATGCATACATGCATCAAGTTCAAGGAGTTATGCTGCATTTTCACAAAATTATAAAAAAACGTCTACCTGCCTTAGAAGATATGATTATCCGAAGGAACAAGAGAAGAATCTTTCACGAATAATTATTATTCTTAGTCTATATTACACATTTAACGAAATTTTATAAATGGAGTAGCTTTATATTTTTAAATGAATTAAATAATAACTGTTAAAGAGTAATCAGTGTCATTCAGAGAATTATTATATGCAATTGCATACCTAATCGTATTTAGAAAATAGCGGAATATGATTTACGTTTAGGTCTATTATGTCTTGTTCCATATATGATATTAAAATCGTTTCGCCCGGGATTTTCCCAAACGTTTATTTATCATTTGTACACGAATAAAGATGGATTATTATTAATCGCAATTTATTGAGCTCAATTCATAAGGTTGAGCTCGATAAGTTGACCTATCCCTTATGTACATTGATATTAACGAAATCTTCAATATAAATACAAAAAAAAATTTGCTAAAAGCAAATAAGAAGATTTAGATAATTTGAAGATTTAGAATTTTTCATGACAACTTTAAATGAACTCTGGGAAACAGTTCATACTCAAAATAAAACTGTATTTAACATTGCGCAAAAAATTGAGAACCTAGAAAGAGTCATATTAAAGTAAATATAAAACAAGCTTTTATACCTATATTATAACAAATTATTAAAAAATCGTGTACAAGTATGATGTAAACAAGTAAATATTAACTATTATAGTTTATTCTAATTACAGTCTGAATGTTACCATGAGAGGGGTCTCGCCAGAGATACAACGTTTAAGAAGTTTAGCGTCACAGATGTCTCGTTCTGTTACAAATACATTATACTCAATAAATGATACAAGACAAACGCTTTACACGTAAGTCTTCTTAAAACAGTTAGCGTTATAATTACTTTTTTCTAGTAAAATTAAAAGTTAAAATTTTTATTTAAAAACCAATATTATATTTACAGTATAATGCATAACTTGAGAACACCACACCAATTTAAATATGAAGATTTAGAATCTCTCATGACATTTTTAAATGAAACCTGGGAAGCAGTTTATTCTCAAAAGAAAACTGTATTTAAGTTTACGCAAAAAAATTGAGAAACTAGAAAGAGTCA